ATTCTTTGCATTTTTGCAATAATTTTTGTGAACCGTGTATTTACATTTTTTTATCGGATGCTCACCCTCTGGTGTTTAAAAACAAAAGTATTTTATCTGGGTCGTTTGAATTGTTCTTGTGTATTGTCAAGAGTAAAGATGAATAGCAATAGGAAAATCAAAGGTTTTGAATTGAATTCCAAATTGAAATTCCAAAACCACACGGGATCTCAACATAAGTTTTAATCCATTTCCACGTAAAAACAGATGATTATTCGGAAATCAGAATTCGGAGAAACTCATAAGTGTAATCAACAATAATGAGCATTTATTTTATTGTAATCACATTGTCACAATGCCAGACTGCAATTTCTAATCATATATTTTTAATTTATTTAATTTCAAATATATGCTCTCCACCTGAAATTAGTAGTGTCTTGCCCCTGTACATCATACTTTCCTGTTAGCAGTAGTCATGCCATCATCTATATAACTCCTTTCAGGGGAAAAATTTTGAATTGAAATGTAATGTGACTTCCAATAACTAAATACAGTAATGTGACTTCCAATTTAAATTGGAAGTTCATATGTAGTTAATCAGGTACTCCTGCCCTAAGCTTTTCATATCCAGTCTTAGCTTTTATCTATCTAACTTTATTCTTGAGATTAAAGAAGGACAGACAACAGACGGACATCAGTAGAAATTTATAGGTATACAATTTTTTCAAATTGCAGTCCAACAAAGACAAAGTAAATCTTTTAAATGCATGGCAAGTGTTGCTGGCCTTAGATTGAATGTTGTAATCTTTAGTTTTGTGATATATTTTCAAAAATTAAAACATATGTTTAAAATGTTTTAATTCTTATTTTAATTTATATGATGTTTAAATGTAGGATGCGCAGCATTTCAAATGTTTAAGTTTGTTTAAATGTAAAAAGTTTATTAGTAAAAAAAATTCTTTTATCAAATGTACAAGCTTATTTAAAAGTGTAAAAAAATTTTTTTGTAACCTGAAGAGAACCACTAAAGCAACTAAAAACATTTGTTTTCTTTAGTTCATCTATTAAACATTACTGCTGGAAGTAGTAAGTAAAAGCGTCTGGATATGTTCGTTGAACTGTTACAGCTTTTGGGTGTTATATAAGAAATTTAAGTTTTTACATTTTATTTTTTTCATAAAAGTCTGATAAAATTAAAAAATTTAGGAGAATTTAAATTTAACGTTTTTTTAATATCAGAACTATTTAACATACTAGCAGACCCCGCCACTCCTTGTTGTGGCTCAAAATGTATCTATTATAAATGTATAACACTTCCCCCGTGGGGGGAATTTTTCGAAAAATTTCTTCTTAGTGTACATTCTGTTGACGTACCCTATTAAAATGCAATCAAAAACGCAAAAACCCGCATCTAAAATAGTATAATAGAAGCCAAGTTCTTCACAGTAAGCCTTAATCCTGTCTCTCTCCCCCGCGGGGGGAATATCGAAAAATTCCTTCTTAGTGTACATTCTGTTGATGTGCCCTATTAAATCAAAAATGCAAAAAACCGCATCTAAAATAGTATAAATAGAAGCAGAGTTCTTTATGGTAAGCCTTCCCCGTAAGGCTTACCGTAAAGAACTGTCCATCTCCCATGTTTAATGGAATAATATACAGCCTATGTCCACCCTGAAGTTCCATTCTAAATATTGGTAAAAAAATTTTTGAAATCAGATGAGTAGTTTCGGAGATTACCTGTTGCATATAAACTTACATACATACTTACAAACATTACCTCTTTATAATATTAGTATAGATAACTAATAGGATAACTGTCATATTCTTTCTATATATTTATATTAGAGATGTAATCTGAATATTTATGATAATATATTAGAGATGATCATTATTTCATATTTTATACGATATCTATACACAGTTATATATTATCCATCTTTATCTTTTACACATCTGTAGGAAAATAAATATAGAAATTAATTTCAGGAAGGTATTTGTTTTAGCTGTGTCTTTAATCCTCTTGATAATTCTATACATCTACTAAAATATGTTTACTTACATTTGAAGAATTAAATTTATTCTGAAATTCAGTAAATTTAACAAATGATTTGTTAAATAATCAATAGGTGCAATACTTAATCTTCACACACTTTAAGGATGGTCTTGGTGTTATCTTGAGAGATTAATGATGAAATGAGCAATTAGATAATGGGAATACTTTATTACAGTAGTTATTTTAATCACAATTATAAACCAATCTTTTTACAGCTGATAAATTATTGATATTAAATTCTTGTATCTAATGCAATTTAAATTAAAATTCGATTTTTATTACAGTAAATTATAGTAACATCACAATTTTGTGGTATATATTAGCTTAGATAAGTGTAGTCTTCAAGAATTTTGTAACATTTAAATTTATATGAAATTGTTTATATAAATATGATAACATTAATAACTTTATTTATTAGAATAACCAAAGCTTAGTTAAGAATAACCAATTAAAATAACCAAGCTTAATTAATAATTTGACAAAATAATTTTGTTAGAGGTAGGTGGTAGTGGTCTAGCCAAATCATTGACTAGAGATGGCAATTCGTTTTTTTCCAGATGGTGCAAGAATCTAATTTATTTACTTACTTATAATGAAATTTATCATGAGATAGCAGCCTAACTGTCTACCTCTAGCCAAATTACTTTGTGGCAGATTATTAATTAGACTTAAAGTAGCTCAATAAAAAATCCAGCAGATTGTTTAGTTATAATTTTTCTTAAATAATTTGTCTTTTTAATATAAAAATTTCATTAAAAAAATACTGTATGTATATCTTATTTCAATTTATTTGTCAGTTGTAAAAATTATTTTCTATGTTGATTTGAAACTTTTGTTATTTATTCTAATCTTTTCCAAACCTTTCCATTTAAGTACTGATAGCTTTCAGTAATTTCTCTAGAGGTCCATCTGGAATATGTAAATATCTCAGGCAAATGCAATAATTTCCATTACAACTAGCCAACCAAGCTCATGATTGCTATGCAATATTGTCTAATAAGATATTTCATATAAATAATAATGTTTTAAAGCCATCAAATTTATTTTTATTAGAGCTTTATTATTATTTTTCTGTTTTGTATTCTAATTTATAAATTTTTCATGTGTACATTAATGTTTTTTCTTCATGGATCTCTAATTGACTATAGACTACCCTTTGGGAAATACTGATTTTGTTTTTTCCTTTTTGTGGTTTATTCTTGATTGTCAAATATTTTTCTCCTAAAAATAATAAATTATAAAGTAAATTTTTTACATTTATTTTTTTGTAATAATACTTATTGTTTTCTTAAATATAAAGATATTAAAAATGCTCTTACTCTACTACACTGTGAAAAAATAACAATTAAGACATTATTTAAAATACTTGTTAAGCCCAATGGCTAGGGCTGTTTTTCAGTCATAATGTATTGATTCACTGTACCAGCAGATAGCATAAAAATTATCAATAGCCAATATAGTAGTACTGGCAGTTGTTCAGTAAAAACAATTCTATATGTTCAGCCACCATGTTTGTGTACCAGTGGTAATTTTTACAAAAAGAACGTTGTTGATAACAATTGAATGCAACAGCCATACATTGAGACTGATAGAGAAATGAGAGAGCTTAGAAATGTCTTTTTACCTGAAGATGATGATGATGCCCAAAGCTCTAACCTATGATTAGACAAAGTTAAGCATATTTTTTAACTTGTATGTTTGGACAAGCTAATTCTTGTAACACTAAAAATGGCCAATAACAATATTCATAATTACAATAAATGGACATTACTGCAATTAATTCCTGATTATAAAATTAATATACAGTAATTACCTTTGAAAAATATGAATGTTACATGAAAAACAAAATTGAATTCTAATATCTTTGGATAACTTCATATTTTTTTTTATAATATATTGTATATTTAATAAAAACTAAATATTTAAAGTATAATTTTTGGGGGAAAATTAATTATACTAAACAGAATAGATACAGTAAATTGGCCAATAACTAACTATAAATAATAACTTTAACTTAGAAGATATTCACCAGATAGAGAATTTCAGGAACAGCAAAAGAAGTTGAGATTTATAAGAATTAATTTAATATAGGAGACTTGAAAATGCTTTTTCAACATGAAAGTGTTTTGTAGTGAAATAACTTAAAGTTAGAAATTAATGTAAATAAAGTAGAGTTATATAAATTGAATGTGTAAAAGAATTATACATAATAATGAGGTCTACATATGAGTTACTGTTTGAAAGTCACATGATTTGGCAATAACGTGTTTATTGCAATTAAAAATTATGCATTTAACAATATGCAGATCCTGAAGAATTTTCCACTTAATAAGAAAGATTTATTCACAAATTTTCATTGGTTTTTTACAGAAGTAGCTAATTAGGAGGGTATGCTATAGTTGTTTGACTGTTTCAAATTAATTGTTAATATTATAGACAGTAATGTCTATTGAAGAAATATTTAATTTTTATATAATTATGTGAGATGTATTTTTATTTAACTTAATAAAAATATTCTTAAACTTTCTTTTAAAAACCCTGTTTGATCTTTTTAAAATAATTTATTTAAGATTATTTGTTTTTGTTAATAATTATACAGAAGATAAATTTTAAAACATGCATCATTAGTGTTGAATTGATATCTCTTGAATGCACTCAATAATTGTCTACTTTGTATTTCTTTCATCGTAGTTCAAATCTTTTTCTTTTTAACAGCTTACTTAAAAAGAAAGTGGTATCATTAAATTTCAGTATTCATTTTACTAACTGTTCAGATGTCAACACGTCTTAAAGCCTCTCTTATAAGAGATGCATTACATTGTCTCTGGTCAAATTTATAATACCCTTAATTAAGTTTAATGTTTTTAAAATTAATTTTTGTGTGAAAATAATTAAGAAAATGACATTTTATTATAAATTAAATTCTAGTTACTTTTAATAAATAAATAAATGTATTTTTTACTTTCAGTTCGATTACATGATAGCATACAAGAAGAAGGCAGTCACTATTTGATATTTGATCTGTGAGTTATGTCTTCATTACCATTTTTGTTTTTTATATTTAACAAATTAATAAGTAATATATATTAAGATAGTCACTTGATAGAAAGTAATTGTTACAAAAAACATTTCTAATATATGATATTTCATTTCCAATGACACACTACATACTAACTACAACATAAATTAATCACAGCAACCTTTCTGTAGTAAATCCATAAGACAGTTTTCATGTGAGCTCTGAGAAAGGTTAATTAAATATCAGCATTTATATAAATTCTACATAACAGAAGTTCTATGTTTATAAAGGAAGCAGGAACACAATGGATAACTAATCTTTAAATTTATTGCTTCTAATCATAGAACTTTTGTTCACTGTACTGTACATATAGACTTAAATGGTAAATTATATATGGTGTAAATGTTTTCAGGATCTTTGTATTGTGTGGGTCATAGAAAAAGTTATGTAGGACTCAGGTTGTAGAGAAGGAAGGATAATACATTATATTAATATATTGTTATTGTCTATTAAATTTTAAAATCATCATTTTAAAGTATTCTTTATTTCTTGGATCAAAGATATTTCGTTTTGAATAAAATTTATCATTTAATATTATCACTGTGTATTTTTAAAGGATAGTGTGATAATTTACATTCATATAATGTAACTAAAATCTTAATCTATTATCATCATCATCATCATCATTATCGTCGGTCCACATTAGTACTTGGAACACTGAATTAGTATTAGTACTGTCGATCCACATTAGTACCACATTTGTACATGAATTTATGTATTGTTTAATTACTATAAAGTGTTTAAAGTACAGACCAAGAGATATAACCATAAGTTCCAATTACTGGATTATGTTTGAAATATATTAACTGAATTTAATAGGCTTTTTTCTAATAATTAATTTATTTAATATGCTTTAATATAATCCAGAAATAATCTGACAGTTCAGGTTTTTTTTTTTTTTGTTTGTAAAGAAACTCACATATACAAAATCAGAAGTTTTAGAATGTAGCAGAAGATGGAATATTCAGAAAATATTTATATAAAAGACAAACAGGACTTTTGTAAACTATTTCAGTGATGTGACAAGTGTTTAAATAAAATCAAAATTTGATTATTTCTTAATAGAAGCATTTGATTGATACATAATGTATTAATTCTTAAATTTTGATTTTTAGCTTTAACAAAACTATAAATCATCCAAATTTGATTTAATTTTATTAAATAAATAGAAATTGTCAGAATTTTTATCCTATTTTAAAATAAAAACCTGAACTATTTTTATAATGTTTTTTTATTATGCATCCAAAAATGTCAGTCTGTCATCTTGGAGGTTCAAGTTCAGATTGAATCTAGTCTCAAATCTATAGTTCCTAAATATTTAAATGAAGAATGAATTTACAGCTTTTGAAGTTTTATTTTACTCTGCAACATTAGGAGGATTCCACCTTGAAATTTGAAGTGCTGAGATGTGAGAGTGTTTTTCTAGGAATCACTTTAGTACTAGTTATATGTTAAAATGGAAAATGATCAAACCCTACCATAGGTAAAATGTGAAAGTCAGCAATTTCTTCCAAGAAAAGATTATTTGAAACTGATGTAAAATCAATAATACTAGATCCATTATGAGAAAAAAAGATAAACTCTTCACGTTTATCACTGATGAGAATGCCATTTAAGCAGATAAATTCCTTATCCAATATAAAAATTATATAATAATTCTCCACAATAATTCGGAATTTTTGTAAGGAGCTTGCAGTTATTAAAATTATCAAATATATAGTATGAAAGATGCTCTGGTTGTCCCATTCTATCATTAAAATCTCCACATAAAATAAACATTATTGTATTTATATATATATTCACCCAAAATCTCCAGTACTTTTACAAAAGATTATTATACTTGTCATCAGGAGATAACTAAGGGGATATTTTTTGTCTGTTAAATCTATTAATAATAATATTACAACTCTAGACTGATATAACAAACATCTTTATTAAGACCAATAATGATATCTCCACTTGGTCTACCAACATCATATTGTCTACAAGCCTTTATTACTAATATTTTAAACTTTTTATCAAATAAAAATTTAATTCTATCATTATCACACCATGTTTCAACCAAACAAAATGTCTCTGCCAAACTAATTAAATTCTTGAACTCTGTAATGTCAGATTTATTCTTTAAATTATTACGTGTGTACCTGAAAAGTAACTGGAAGAACTCACTTTATGTAGGTGGATATCTCATAACATAAGATTAATTCTTATGGTAGGAGTAATACTAAAACAATGAACACATACTATAGGCCTACTTAAAAAAGTTCAGTTTCATGTAAGGGAAGTAAATTTGCTCCTTATAGTTGTAAGTATCTGATAACATAAGAGTATTGTTATAAGAAATGAATGACTATGATAATATAAACAAAGCATATACATAACTAACCAAACTGTAGGAACCAAAACTGAAAATATAACATATGTTTTAAAAAGGCTACCAGGTGAAGAATTGAACCTTCAATAGAGCAGGCAAACAATGATGCAAGACAAATGTTGCAGTAAAAATATTGTTTTTGTGCATTTTCCTTTTTCACTATGAAAATAGTACATAGCTTATGTTCATCTGGAAGGATAAATGAAATGATCAGCGTAGTTAATCAGGCTATTTTTTGCTACAATTAATAATTAGACATTAAGTAATTCAGTATTAGAGGTAGATGTTAGGCACCATCTCTTATTGAAATTAATAATTATAATAATTTANAGTTAATCAGGCTATTTTTTGCTACAATTAATAATTAGACATTAAGTAATTCAGTATTAGAGGTAGATGTTAGGCACCATCTCTTATTGAAATTAATAATTATAATAATTTAATATTTATTAAATAATTTTAGAATAGTCTGAAAGAAAATCCTGCTCTAAGCTGATTCTGATTAACTGCTTTCAGAAGAAAATTTTTGAATTGAAATAACATGACTTCCAGTTTGCAACAGAAGTTCCTATATAGTTAATTGGAGCCTCTTGTCCCTAAGGTTTCCGTGTCTGGTCTCTAATTTCATCTAACTTTGTTCTCGAGATTAAGGAGAGACAGATGGACGTATGACAATGGGAATTTATAGGTCTACAATTTTTTAAATTGCAGTCCAATGAAAGACTGTTAAATATATANTAAATGGTAAATTATATATGGTGTAAATGTTTTCAGGATCTTTGTATTGTGTGGGTCATAGAAAAAGTTATGTAGGACTCAGGTTGTAGAGAAGGAAGGATAATACATTATATTAATATATTGTTATTGTCTATTAAATTTTAAAATCATCATTTTAAAGTATTCTTTATTTCTTGGATCAAAGATATTTCGTTTTGAATAAAATTTATCATTTAATATTATCACTGTGTATTTTTAAAGGATAGTGTGATAATTTACATTCATATAATGTAACTAAAATCTTAATCTATTATCATCATCATCATCATCATTATCGTCGGTCCACATTAGTACTTGGAACACTGAATTAGTATTAGTACTGTCGATCCACATTAGTACCACATTTGTACATGAATTTATGTATTGTTTAATTACTATAAAGTGTTTAAAGTACAGACCAAGAGATATAACCATAAGTTCCAATTACTGGATTATGTTTGAAATATATTAACTGAATTTAATAGGCTTTTTTCTAATAATTAATTTATTTAATATGCTTTAATATAATCCAGAAATAATCTGACAGTTCAGGTTTTTTTTTTTTTTGTTTGTAAAGAAACTCACATATACAAAATCAGAAGTTTTAGAATGTAGCAGAAGATGGAATATTCAGAAAATATTTATATAAAAGACAAACAGGACTTTTGTAAACTATTTCAGTGATGTGACAAGTGTTTAAATAAAATCAAAATTTGATTATTTCTTAATAGAAGCATTTGATTGATACATAATGTATTAATTCTTAAATTTTGATTTTTAGCTTTAACAAAACTATAAATCATCCAAATTTGATTTAATTTTATTAAATAAATAGAAATTGTCAGAATTTTTATCCTATTTTAAAATAAAAACCTGAACTATTTTTATAATGTTTTTTTATTATGCATCCAAAAATGTCAGTCTGTCATCTTGGAGGTTCAAGTTCAGATTGAATCTAGTCTCAAATCTATAGTTCCTAAATATTTAAATGAAGAATGAATTTACAGCTTTTGAAGTTTTATTTTACTCTGCAACATTAGGAGGATTCCACCTTGAAATTTGAAGTGCTGAGATGTGAGAGTGTTTTTCTAGGAATCACTTTAGTACTAGTTATATGTTAAAATGGAAAATGATCAAACCCTACCATAGGTAAAATGTGAAAGTCAGCAATTTCTTCCAAGAAAAGATTATTTGAAACTGATGTAAAATCAATAATACTAGATCCATTATGAGAAAAAAAGATAAACTCTTCACGTTTATCACTGATGAGAATGCCATTTAAGCAGATAAATTCCTTATCCAATATAAAAATTATATAATAATTCTCCACAATAATTCGGAATTTTTGTAAGGAGCTTGCAGTTATTAAAATTATCAAATATATAGTATGAAAGATGCTCTGGTTGTCCCATTCTATCATTAAAATCTCCACATAAAATAAACATTATTGTATTTATATATATATTCACCCAAAATCTCCAGTACTTTTACAAAAGATTATTATACTTGTCATCAGGAGATAACTAAGGGGATATTTTTTGTCTGTTAAATCTATTAATAATAATATTACAACTCTAGACTGATATAACAAACATCTTTATTAAGACCAATAATGATATCTCCACTTGGTCTACCAACATCATATTGTCTACAAGCCTTTATTACTAATATTTTAAACTTTTTATCAAATAAAAATTTAATTCTATCATTATCACACCATGTTTCAACCAAACAAAATGTCTCTGCCAAACTAATTAAATTCTTGAACTCTGTAATGTCAGATTTATTCTTTAAATTATTACGTGTGTACCTGAAAAGTAACTGGAAGAACTCACTTTATGTAGGTGGATATCTCATAACATAAGATTAATTCTTATGGTAGGAGTAATACTAAAACAATGAACACATACTATAGGCCTACTTAAAAAAGTTCAGTTTCATGTAAGGGAAGTAAATTTGCTCCTTATAGTTGTAAGTATCTGATAACATAAGAGTATTGTTATAAGAAATGAATGACTATGATAATATAAACAAAGCATATACATAACTAACCAAACTGTAGGAACCAAAACTGAAAATATAACATATGTTTTAAAAAGGCTACCAGGTGAAGAATTGAACCTTCAATAGAGCAGGCAAACAATGATGCAAGACAAATGTTGCAGTAAAAATATTGTTTTTGTGCATTTTCCTTTTTCACTATGAAAATAGTACATAGCTTATGTTCATCTGGAAGGATAAATGAAATGATCAGCGTAGTTAATCAGGCTATTTTTTGCTACAATTAATAATTAGACATTAAGTAATTCAGTATTAGAGGTAGATGTTAGGCACCATCTCTTATTGAAATTAATAATTATAATAATTTAATATTTATTAAATAATTTTAGAATAGTCTGAAAGAAAATCCTGCTCTAAGCTGATTCTGATTAACTGCTTTCAGAAGAAAATTTTTGAATTGAAATAACATGACTTCCAGTTTGCAACAGAAGTTCCTATATAGTTAATTGGAGCCTCTTGTCCCTAAGGTTTCCGTGTCTGGTCTCTAATTTCATCTAACTTTGTTCTCGAGATTAAGGAGAGACAGATGGACGTATGACAATGGGAATTTATAGGTCTACAATTTTTTAAATTGCAGTCCAATGAAAGACTGTTAAATATATATATATATATATATATATATGTTTAGGTATTTATGATTATAAAATTAATTTTTCCAGTGTGACAAGAAATTTTTAAAGTAAATATATATAGTTACACAAAAATGTTAACTACATTTTCATATTCTGTTTCTCTTAAAATATTTTATGAAACCAATTTCTTTTAGTTATTTTATATTATGCAGATGATAATCACTTAAATGTATGAGTAAGTATAAAGATTTGGCAGGTAAAATCTTCAACATGACTCATGTTTGATAAATGCCTAAAGCATATTTTAAAGTGGTATAGACACACCACTTCAGAAACCTAAAAACGCCAGTTTAATATTTTGTATTACATTTAAGTGGAAAGAGTTATTGATTTTTAAGATAAAATTATTACATTTTTAGTGCTCTTGTGTTTACTTCTCCAGCTGTAATAATAAACATATATCATTTTTATTGAATACCTTTGTTGAAATTTTGATATTGAAATTGAAATTCTTACAAATGAATTTTTTTGTAATGCATGTGTCTGATTAGAAATAAGCAGGTTCTGCTTATGAAGTAGGGAAAAATTCCAATAGTTTATTCCTTTGGGAACAAAGAGAGGAGAGATGCCATTTTTAGTGTTTAAAAATTTTTCTTTATGTAAGATTAACAATTTCTGTTTTAAGAAACTCTTACTCATCAAATTTATTATTAATCCCACATGAAATACAAGAAATAATTTTTTTTTTCCATTAGTAATGCTTATATTCAAGTTTAAAAGTAAGGAAGATTTTAATAAATTATAACAACTGAAAAAAATTATAAACTTTTATCTGTAATTTATAGAGAATTAATAATTTACTTTACTTTTTTACTTTACAAATTACTTTATATTAATCATTTTAATTAGCCAAATTCTAGCCTGATCTTTCAGGCAATCATTGGTTATTTCATAATTTACTAAATATTAAGATAATTAACATAATAACAGAATTCAAACATCAAATTTTATTATACTGCTATTGCTGTTCTGGAGAAAAAAACAGCACAGTAAACGATTCTCTGAATAATTAAGATAATGGTTAATTCACAAGAATTGATGTATGTTGTATTTTTATTTTGATTATCATTTTATATAAAAAAATTATAATCAGGTAAAATTGTAATTTAAAAAGTTGCTTAAGAAGTTTATTTGAAATTTTATTGAAGCTTTGAATAATTTCTGTTCGAATCTTTTCTAGTTTTCATATTGAACTTGTTTTATGATTAACTTAATGTTTCATAATACAGTGTGTCCAAAATGTTGTTGTGCTGTAAAATCCCTGCTTTCAGCTATTTATAGTTGTCTGTTTTATAGAAAATTAGTATTATTAACTGAATGGGGTCAAGGGTTCATATATATACCTAATTGTTTAAGAATAGTATGAGGGATTCTGTTCCTAATGAAAAGCCTTTATAGACTATTGCAAGAACAAATGGGAGGAGATAATTATTTATACTTATGAAAAAAAGAAACTTCACTTAACATTTCACTTTCAAGTAATATATAGTGTAGGCTCCGTCCATCTCATTTTGCATATTTATTTGCCTTTAGAAGTTTCAATAAAATGGAAGTTTGTTTAATTTGAAAGAATGTATATGTTTTTGCATNTTTAATTTATTTATTTAATTTTAATTATTAATTTTCTTAAGAGATGGCACATAATGCCTACCTCTAATGCCAAATTACTTTATTCCAATCATTTAATTATAGTCCGATATTTAGGCGATCGTTTGGTAATTTAATATATATAAATAAAAGTATCTTTTAATATTACTAATTGTTCATTTGTCATAGAATACATCTTTGAGATTTTTTTAATGCATTTATGAATAGTATTTTTTTGTAAAGTAAAATGTATTCACATATAAAAAGCTAAGTTTAAATTTGTTCTGGTAATTTCTTATTTATTCTGTATATTCTATTATTATATAATTATAATCTATGAAAGAGGTAAACTGCTTTAGATGTATGTAACAATTAACATTTTTATGCATCTTACTTAAGCTGTGTTTTAATGATAAGGCATTTAAAATTATAATTATTTTAAATTTACAATAAAATGACTCAATTTATTTTATTTTTATGTAGAGTTACTGGTGGAGAATTATTTGAAGATATAGTTGCTCGAGAATATTATAGTGAAGCTGATGCAAGGTATATATAAATAATTCAAATTTTTTAAAAGGTTTTTTTAAATTCATGCAACATATTGAATATAATTCAATAATTAATTTTACATAAATTTAAATTAAATAGTTTTACATTATGATAATGGTTTCTTACACTATAGAAATGTTCACAAATTGTAAAATTGGCTTTTGCCTTCTTTTAACACTTTTGGATAGGCTCCTGTACAAGATACAGGAATGACCATTGACCCTACAGCATTTTTTTCTGTAACGTTTGGTTTAAACATCTTCTTGTATATATTTCATTTGCTGTTCTTTTATAAATAATATATTCTTAGCTCCATCTACTGACAAAATTTTAAGATCAAAAATTTTCAATTTTTATTGAATTTTTTCACACCAAAAAGTTTTTCATCATTTTTTTATCAAAGTTATTATTATTATTATTATTAAATAATTTACTGTTCTTGTAAAATATAAATACAAATAAGCAAAAACATCACAATTATCGCAGTTTAATTCTAAGATAGTTATAATATAATTTGTAAGTTTCCAATTGTCGGAAAAGTTTTGTACATATAGTGGGTGATCGGTTAACGAACTTAGTCCATTCCAAGTCCATGTTTGTTAACCTAATTGTTCGTTAACCGATTATCGATTTACCTTAGATTTTTATGAGAATTGATTAATTCATTCTTGAAACCCCAAAAAGTAAATAAAAAATTATATACTTTCTTACTACTATATTTATTTGTAATAATAATATATACATAGTCTTGCACTTTTATCAGTTATGTTTTTTTTTCCTGTACTGCACTCACTCTACATATTTTCATATTCTTAATGATTTGTCTTGAGAAATTTTACTAACAAGTAAGATCAGGAAGTAAAATAAACATTTTAATGTTTATTTTACTTTTCTTCAGTTAGAATACATTAAAAGTAATTTTGATATAGAAACCGAAAATTGGTATCAAATCAGATTGACAAAAACAGAAATACAACATCTGAAATTATTGTTAAAGTTAATTATAATTTCTCTTCAAATTCTGAATCTGTTTAGTCTGGATTTTTAAAATTGAATTGTTTGTAGATTGTTATTATGTTGTATCTGCAAATTGGTGCAATAGGCTATATGTTACACTTTTGAATGTTGTTTTCTTATTCTTCTTTTTTGGGCAATATGCACATTTTTCTCTTGATACTGATGTTGCCTGTGAAGGACCTGGTTTCTTTCTCAACACTTTCAGGATTTTCATACAGAGATCCTCACTCTCATTGTCTGCAAGGTAGGATCCTACATTTTCTTTCTCAGACTCCTCATTAAGCCATTTCAGAAACATTTCATCACATTTTATGATAGTAGGTATATACAATATCACTTCTCAATTAGAATTGTACCACTTTGAATGTGAAAAAGACACAGGATTAGTCACAAGTGAGTACTGCACTAACTTGTCCAACATGACTTAAACAAGCATTTTAAAATGATGGGTTAAGTTATTTTAATGGACATTCAATTTTCCTGAAAGTACCATGTTTAAATAAATTATCTGTTTGATGCGTCAGAAAATGGAATTATTGGGTTATTATATTTATCATTATTATTTTATTTTTTAATAACAATTGCATTAGTTGTAAGAAGTGTTAAAAATAATTTTAATATTTTTAAAAAAAAAACTTTAATTTACAAATATAAAATTATTTTCTGTATCTAAATGTAGCCATTGCATACAACAAATTTTGGAGAGTGTTAATCATTGTCATCAAAACTTGATTGTCCACAGAGATCTTAAAGTAAGTTTTTTTTAAATTATATTCATTATACAGTATATATACTATAATCAATATATTAATATAACACCTATATTCTACTGTTATTAAGTTTAAACAAAATAATACATATATTAATTAATCACACATGATAGCTGGATGGCTGAGCGGTTAAGGCGGCACTCCTCTAGGGGACCAAAGATCAAATCTGGACAGGTTGAAAAACCTAGGAATTTTTATGGGTGATCCATCTGGATGTATCAGACTGTTTTTTGCCACCTGGCCACCACATTATTGACCTAACCAAACCCATAATGAGCTTGCTAATATAAAAGAAACTAATGAATGACTTTTGTCAATTGTCCCATTCAATTTTGCATGTTGACCAAAACTGCATTTCTTGCTTTCAAGGCAAAATTAGCCCTGAGTGCAGCCAGAGCCAACTTGTGGGAGCACTGATTCAACATTGAATCATAGAGTTTGAAGCTTCTTGCATAATATACTACACCTTTTTTTTATTGCTTGTGCACTTCCCTTTTTATAGTCTGCAGGTGTTGCTGAAAGAGCTGAAAAAATTAATCACACACATAAAATTTTTTAATAATTTCTTAGTTATTTTGGCAAATCTTAAAACGTGTTAAATTAACAATGAACTCAATGTTTTATTTGAATCTAGCTTTTGAATTTAAGTGAAAATATTAATTAAATAAATATATAAACGATTGCTTTAATTGAAGCATAGAAAGATCAGTAAATTTGTAAGCATTTGCAATTAATTATCAACTTCAGGCACAATGAAAAATAATAGTTTGACCAAGCAGTATTTCCATAGATACAGAGATAACATATAATGAACATATTGAAGACTGGGAAATTAACTAGAAACATTTTCATATTTGTTTTCCTTTCTGTGCTTCTATAAAAGCAGTTATATACTGGGTGATTATAATTAAAGTTCTCTATTCAATTCTATCTAGAAAGATATTTAGCAGCCCAAATGCAAACAAATCTGGTATGATAACATTTCAGAACATATAGAAAACATTTCATTAAAATAAATTAGTATCAAAACTCATCATTATGGCATTTTTGTCACTGCAAATAATGAAAAAGTAGTTTTCCTTTGCATAATTACCTTGGACCATTTTTATTTGAAGAAACTAGTCTCAATGGCTCTTTTACATTCTCATTTAGAGATAATAGTGAGGTTGAGGTTAAAGTTTTAAACACAAAAGCGTATATGTCAGACATTCAGCGCCATTTTCCTGTAAGCCTAGAAGTTTGACAATGGTGTTTGGAATGTCGAGCATGATTCCACTGACTATCCAAACACCATTGCCAAACTTCTAGACTTACAGAAAAGCGGTGCTGAAACAGGTCCAATGTACACATTTTCACATTTAAAACTTCGGACTCAACCTCACTACTAAGAGATGCTCAACACCTTTAAAGCTGTATACAGCATCTTCTGTGACAACATTTCACCAATAACAGAATGATCAAGCATGCATTTCTTACAGCCTGACCACCTCATTATTTGGATCTTAATCTAAATGATTTTTAGTTGTGGAAAAAGTTAAGAAATGTGATTTACCAAGGACAGGCTGCAAGTTTGGCAGTCTCAAAAGTCAGTATCACACTACCTGTGAGAAGCATCAGTTACAGTCAGCCGTTAATACACTGTTTATCATCTAGCATAAATAAAATCAACTGTACTTTAAACCTATTGTCAGCATTGGTAATAATAATAGTTTGTTTTTTTTTAGGTCTCATAAATTATCTTTGTTTTATCACTATTTGGTGATTTTACAATCTAAATAATTAAAATAATAATGTAACTGCCTATCAGTCAACTTGGGCAGGTAGTTCTTGATTTTCTGACAACTTGTTCTTTTGTATAGTACATGATACTTTAATACCCCTAAATTGCTTTTTGTACTTGTGTGATAGTACTTTATTTCAGTTTTGGTTGCAGTAACAAAAAAATCATTTGTAAAAATTAATTTTTATTGTCTATTTTTTGTTTAATATATTGTTTTAATATTTTAAATAATGTTTTTATGCATTGTAAGTTATTTGCTGTAAAATCTTAAAACTTTACTACCTTAATAAAAGATTTTATAATGTTTCTTTTTAACTTATTATTTCTATAGTAACTGCACTTGTACAACTACAATCCTTACAACCATCTAATGCAGTAAAAAATATTTTATTTAAATGTTTTTAATTATCTTAAACTATCTTAAAACTGTTGGAAATTCATTTTTTTTTAGAATAATTTTCTGAAGATGATCATTTAAAATGATTGAAAACATTTGAATGAAGAAATTTTTACTGCATTAGATGATTGTAAAGTTGATAGTTTTTTTTTAGCAGTTAAATTTATCCATTATTTTAAGTAAATTTGAAAAATTAAATTTTTTAAAATTAATTTACAGCCAGAAAACTTACTGCTGGCCAGTAAAGCAAAAGGTGCTGCAGTTAAATTAGCAGATTTTGGTTTAGCTATTGAGGTCCAAGGAGATCAGCAAGCTTGGTATGGTGAGTGCTAAAAATAAAATAAAAGAAAAATCTACTTAATGATAAATGTTGGTGTTTAAGGTGTTATGGAATAATTGACATTTAATTATTTGACAATGGTCAAATAATTGGCAAAATGTCTGCAGGAAGTAACAGACATCCCTTCTCTACACTATGACTGCCCTGATCCCAAGGTTGTAAATATATAACATGCTTGATTCTATTTAATTTATATTGTTTAGTTTTGTTTTGTTTTCTGCTAGGTATATTATTCTATTTTACTTATTTTACTTTGGTTTCTTAATTTGTAATTTTAGTTTTTAAATACAGTGGGTGATCAGTTAACGAACATAATCTGTTCCAAGACTTTGTTCGTTATCCAAATTGTTCGTTAAACGATTACCGATTTACCATTTGGGAATTTGATTAATTCATTCCAGAGACTCCAAAAAATAATAAATATATACTTTTTTACTACATTTATTTATAATAGTAAAAATACATATATATGCAGTCTTGCATTTTTATTAGTCACGTTTTTTCCGTTTGTGGGGTTAAAGAATCTGTCTAATTCAATTGCTTTTCTCTTTTCTTCAGGATTTTTCAGAAGTAATTAATAGTATTTGTAGAGATCCCCAACCCCATTAACCCTATTCTGGTTTGGATGCCACTTGGATGATTGTCGTTCTGACATCCTCCCACTTTTTCAAAAGATCTTTAGTAGCAGAGGTCGACATTCGTCCTCTTTTGTCTTCCTCTTTTTCAATAGGAAACACATCTCACTGAGTTTCTTGGAGTTCTTCTGTCATCAGATCAGTTTCAGGTTCCATTATGAGCTCTAAAATGCTCTTTATTTCTCAGATGTGATTTTCATTACTCCATTAGCAGCTTGAGACTTCTTGATATATCTTTCATATCTAAAATTGTGCCTTGTGTAGACCCATTCAAGCCATACTGCCTAGCGACATCAGATATCTTGTGCTCACTTTCTACCTTGGCTATTATCTCTTACTTGGTTTCTACAGTGAGCACAGTTCTTGACACTCCTCTTTTTAGGCTTCATAATATTATCAGTTTCTTTTTTAAATAAAAAGTTCAGAAAAGCATATACAAAACTTCAGAGAACAGAAATCAACTAGCCCACAAAAAACTATTTAAATGAAAGGCTCGAATGAAATTCGAAATTTGGAATTAAAACGTTAACGAATATATGATGGGACAGTTAAACTTTTACCTTTCGTAAATAAACCTCGAAGCAAAACTTAACAAGTGCCCGTCCAACAGTTTTGCAAAGACTATAAAAAATTATTTATCAGAAAGGTAAACAAAAAGCTGGAATTACAAGGGAGAGTTTCAAAATTCGGAGGAATACTATCTGATCAGTATCGGGTTGAGTGTCGATGTTGATGTCTCCCATGCTCCGAAAGGTTTTGAATTGTTACCTGAAGACAAAGGAAGATCAATTGGTATTCGTTAATTTATGTTGCTTCTTTTTATGCTTGTTCAGTAAAGTGTTCGTTATCCGAACATGTGTTCATTGTCTGATCATAAAAATCTTTCACAAAAGTGTTCGTTATCCAATTTGTTCGCTATCTGAACTGTTCATTAACCGATCACCCACTGTATTTGGAATGTATTGTGTGATCTTTTAAATTTTAGAACATTCAAAAATGTTGTAAGAACATTTTACATTATGTACAAATGTTAAATTTTAAAATTTTCAAGAACATCAGGCAAAATTTTATGTTCAATTTTAATGTTTTTGGAACTGAAGCTCTAGTAAAAATAAGTTTAGTTTCCTTAAAAAAACTATCTTTATTGAATCTAGTTAATGTACTGTACGTAGGATTTAATACATACAATAGGAAATAACAAAAACTTGTTTAATTTATTAAAAAAACTAACACTAGTCTTTAATTGCAATCTACAACACACTGATGAAATAAATTAATGATGAAACATAATATTAATTTTACTAATGTATTAAGTAAAATACAGTTCTTGTGTAAAAATTATTTATTACAATTATTGTTTTGAAAGATATCACTTACTGTATTTTGTTTTATATAGTTTTATCTTTTTAATGCTTATTAATCCCTGTCTTATTTGATTGTCACAAGATTTGAAAATACTGCTTTGGGTTGAATTTCTATGTTCATAGGTACAGTGAAACATTGATGCATTAAAAACCTATAATTCTTTAATCATGTTTTCTATTTTTACTGTAATGAATAAAGTGTAACAATAATGTTTATAATGAGATAGCTCAATAGTGTTCCTACAGAAGATTATTGACAAGTGTTATTACATAAAACTTCATAATTTCTGGAATTACTACTCTTTGAAGTTGATTTCAGTTAACACTTCCAAAAAAACTTTAAAATACCCACAGCAGAAAGCTTAATAAACTAAAACATAGGCAAATGTTTTTGATCTATGAATAAGATCTGTATCAGGTCTCAATCATGCTCCAAATTGGAATTTTAGCAGAAACATGACATATTTTGAATGTTATTGAATACATTTAAATATATACAAATATATCATGATATATGATTACAAAAATAATACAAATGCTCTACAAGTTTTCTACAATAATCCAGGTCTCATACTTGTGTACTAAATTCCTGTATTTCATATCTTAGAACAAACTGGGTGTGAGACAATGAGATATAAAAAAACTCACTGCTTATTGAAAGTCAATAAGGTATGTTCTCATTGTGTATGTTATAAAAGTGCATGAACCTTTGATTCTTAAAATAACCATTGTCTTTTTAGTTGCATTATCTTAGTATATTTGTATATATTTTATTGTATTCAGTGATAATCAAAATATGTCATGTTTCTGCTAGCTTTCCAGTTTGGAACACAACTGAGACCTGATGCAGATCTTATTTATAGATTGAAAACTTTTGTTTATATTTTAGTTTATTATACTTTCTGCTGGAAATATTTTAGGGTTCTTTTGAAGGTGGTGTCAAATATATCTTACAGTCTGATAAATACTTTAGTCTGACTCATTTATTTATTGCAGCAAAATTATTTTAAAAAGCTATATAAAATTTTCTTAATTCTGATAATGCCTTTGGTAATGTTTAATAAAACATATTATGGTCTCATAAACCTGATTATTTTGTTTAATTTAAGACCAAAGAATAGATTATCCATTCAAATTGAAATGATTCTGTTTTTCTTTAAAATTATTCTCTTTTTTTGAGGCTAATGATCTCAAAGATTTTTTTTAATTAAGAACAGTTTTGTTTTTGAAGAAATATAAGAATAGTCATATTCTGTTGCCTTCTAGCATTATGAGATAATTTAGAATTAATAATTTTAAAGTACTTCATAATGCTAGTGGACAACAGAATTTTTGACAAGACTGTCTTGTTTATAAAATTGTACTGCCACCCATTCTTACCAGCATAGAGGTATGAAGGAGTACATGTCGAGAGTTGATATTTGGCACAGAGTATTAGTGCCCAAATCATTTGTGCGTAAACAAATCCAGACTTGTGGGTAGTCAGGGGACCAAGAATCGAGTCAAAATAAAATACAAAATGGCGACCTTCTTCTACAAACAGGCAAAACAGCCACCTCACCCCACCGAAGTCAGGTAGGGGAGAGTACCACCCACAGTCATTCTAAGAAGTGAACTCTGACCTTAGGACTGAACACACACTTTCTTCTAGGTTAAATAAAATTTGTAATCTAATTTTGTAAATTTGGGAGTGCTTCAAATATGACGTTAAAACGGTTTTATGTTGTTACAAGTGGGCTTTTTTTAACATTATCTAGTATAGTAAAATCGTAGGACTGATAAAAATTTGACGTTATATTAGGGTTGTTGTTACATTTGATGACATTATAATCAGGTTAAACTGTATATTGTTTGTGCAAAATAAAAGAATAATTTTGGATGATACAATGCCACGATTATTTTTTTTAAAAAACGGGAACTTTTCGTTATGCATCGACAAAAATTCTACCCAGGCTGGCACGCAACAGAGAGAAATTTTGAAATTAGATAAGTTAATTTCATCGAAGATGCATCGTGGACGATCTCGTGGTCGTAGCCGGCAAAGTTTGAACGATTGCGCCCAAAAGCAGCGATATCAAAGAAGATAGGAGAATGAGAACGAGACCTGCCTTGAGCATTAAAGTGATTCCATCTCCGAGACATAGATCTTGTCCCAAATATGGTTTTGCCGTTTTATTTGTTAATTCTACATTACCATAGAAGACTAAGTTACTTCTCTCTTTTCTAATAAAAAAATTATATCAAATGCATTGACAGTTAGAACTACTAATTTTTTTAAACAGAATTCAAAGCTTATAACAATCATCTAAGATATTCATATTAATGAAAGTATATTTTGAGTAATAACCAAAAATATATTTTCACTCCTACAAATTGCTATGATAAGATGTAAATGAGATGTTTCATATTACATTTAGCCGAACTTTTAAAGAAATAATTTAAATATACTAGACCAGGGGTGTAAGCTATGGCACACGTGCCAAACATAGCACACAGGACGATTTTCAATGGCACTGATTTGAATAGAAATGTAGTAAAAATTATTTTTTTAGTTATTAATTACACATTTAAATGGAAGTCATAGTTCAGCGTGGCAGTGTACATTAAAAATGAATCTCTTGTTTGTATATTTCTATTACAGTGCATGCATTTACACTCTGTCACCATCTACGTGTTATGCAAGCGCATCTCATGTAACAACATAATTCAATTAACAACATAACTTTAAAATTATACATTTCTGAAGTCCATTATAACCGGACTAATTTTGATAACATATGATTCTACCAAGTTTATTATATATCAGCACTCGGAATAACACTACAACTTATGTTCGGCACAACACCTCTGTAAGGTTGCCGACTCCTGCAATAGACTATTAATAGCTTAACTTCTGTTTCATTCCAAGTAATGGAAGTTAAGGTTTTGGCTCTTTGAACTATGTTATTGATTAGAAAAATTATGAATTTTTTTTATTTTAACAATGATATTTGTTAATATTGTAAATATTATACAAATTATATTCTAAATATAAATAATATAATTTTTAGTTATACATTTATTAATTACTTCTTTTTTAAACAGGGTTTGCTGGTACTCCAGGTTATTTATCACCTGAAGTATTAAAAAAAGATCCTTATGGAAAACCAGTTGATATTTGGGCCTGTGGTAAGTAAATTAGAATTAATTGTGATCAGAAATCCAATTTTCACTTATATTAAGACCATGAATGAACAATGAATTATTTTCATTATTTTATCTTTTAAGTAAATGTAACAGAACTGTATTATTGGGACAAAATATTATTTTTATTTAATTTGTTTAAAGATTCCAACAACAAGACAGAAAATACTAATTATATTAATATATTTGTCTATATTAATTTAATTTTTAAATAATGGTATTGAAGAGAAAATTACACATTTATATAATCTATATGTCTTTACTTCTTTTTTTATAAAATCTCTGTTCTGATTGATGTGCATTAACTTTCATTCTGGAAGTTTGAAAATTTTCTGAAACCTATTTCAGTCATTCTTACACAATGAAGCACAGATTAAGTGTAAAACAAAATTTATCCAAGATAAACTATATAGGTCAATATGCTTTTAGAGAGAGATCACAAGAAATTTTTTACAAAATGTGGATTTCTTATTAAAGAGTTTGAGAACTATTGGAGTAAAGACTAAATTTCTTATTGAATTATCAGTAGCAGTTGGTTGGACATTCTTACAGTAGTCGACTTATTTATATTATTACAAAATATGTATTTGTATTTTTAAATTAAATGCATATAACTCAGTTTTGGAGACATTATATTCTATATTTTTTTTAATATATAAATTCATAATGCAACAACTATGCGTAAAACAAAATGTAACTCATGGAGATGAAATCTAGTTTGTTATTAGTTTTATATTTTTTCATATATTGAAATTGAAATTGCTGTAATTTGCATTAAAATCACTAATGTTGATTTTGTTTTATACTTAACAATTAAATCAAACAAATTCAATTAAAAAATAACTTATTATAACAGATATTTTATAAATACATAAATGTATTTAGTAAGGTTTGTTAATATTAATTAAAAACTATATATTCTTATAGGGGTTATATTATATATTTTACTTGTTGGCTACCCTCCTTTCTGGGATGAAGATCAACATAGGTTATATGGACAAATCAAGGCAGGTGCCTATGACGTAAGTATCAAATTGAAACAATTGTAATAATTTATTCATTAAATTTATTAATTTTATTATTCAATGAATTAAGCCAGTGTTTCTCAACCTGTGTGTCATGATACATAAGTGTATCATGAAATTTTGGTGTGATGCAGGAATCTAATTAAATTAAAAGTGTGACATTAATCCAAAATGGTTGGGAAAAACTGACTTAAGCAATTTAAGTAATATATATTTTTTCAATATGACAGATTGATATAAATTTAAAATCCTATAATAATTGATAAATCCAAAATAAAACAGATACTTTGATACATTTTAATTCTCTGCACTTTGTAAATCTAATATATTTTCTATGCATTTAAATATATTCATATATATGGAGTTTGTAAAAAGTTCTTTAGAGATCTAAATAACTTTTACAGAAATACAAATTTGCAAAATTAGTTTGCAATTAAAATACATCAATTCTAATAACAATCACTCTAATGACAGACTTGATTTTTAGATTTCCAGAACCATGTACTCTTTTAACTGTTGAAGATAAAAGAAAATTCAAATTATAAATGTTCAGAATGAAATTATTTGAGCATAAAATTTGTGATTGAATGATATACATTCATTGAAGAAAAAGTTACACACTCAAATAGAATTATTTGATTACTGCAGAACTCACATACAGCTACATCTTAGACAGATATGTAAATGATTGTAGTTGTGGAAATTGCAAGTATTGTCACCAATATCTTAAAATTACAGTCAACTTGCCTTAAAACAAACACTGATAAAGTGAAATCTCATATTAATGCAAATTTTGCCATTGCCCTGGAAAAACGCCATTGTCATAATGTTAATTTTCACTTGATAATGCAAACAAAAATTTTACCAGAACTTGTTAAACCAAACTGTAAATTACCTTCACAACTCCCAAGAAATAACCCTATTTTCAATAATGATTTTATTATTTACATCAAAATGTGTAAAAAGCAATGTTATAAATAAATGTTCTATTTTGAGTAGAATAATTTTCTTCTAGTAAGCTAAGATGGGTTGACCTCCAATTGTGGAGCAATTTAAACATCTGATTTTAGCAATATTCTACTGTACTAAGAAAATATGGGTTAAAGTTTAAAGACATTTACCCCTTTCAATGGATGTGGTCCCATGCAAACACGTCTTATTTTACATATTGGGCGTACATAGTGATGCCAAATTTGGCTTCTTTTTTTACTCTTTTGGTGCCAAAAAAAATATTTTATAGTTTTTCAAACAATCTTCAACAGAAAAAAATTACAGATTTCTTTTAGCTTTATTTTGTTCAATCACTCTTGATATACTGCTACACATTTAAAAACCATCTTTTCCTCATTTTGATTGATTTGAAAATCATTTAGATCATTAATTTATTTTTGTAAATAAATTTAAATTTTATTTAGTAAATTAATTCAAAATATTATAATTTGGAGATTTAGATTGCTTATTATTCCTTAAATTATACATACAACCTTGATGCTGACCCTGAAAATAGTTAATATGAATTTTTGATAAAACATACTAACTTCTGTTTCCCTAGTAATTCATATTAACGTGAGTTGACTGTATTATCTCGTTATCCTACAAAAATAGCTTGCAGATACTCACTGCATTCAGAATTATCTATTGTTACTATTGTTTGGAAGTCTTTGAATGGCAGGCATGTCTATACAATTCAGTCAAAGACATTACACAGAACTGATGGAATTTGAAAAGGTTGAATCATTGGACTAAGGGAAGCAAGATGGCTATTTTATCAAACTGCCTTGCTCTATGGTTGTTCTGATCTGATTTTGGAGGGTTATTGATGATAGTGGATACATGTGGACAGACTCTGGACATCTCAGGCAGATCATCTGAAGAAATGTTTATCTGATCATGAGATAAGCACAAACAGCTACAATAACATCTTTGTCTATCATTTAGAAAGAAAAGCTTTACTACAGAAGCTTTTCTTTTCCTATACCATTGGCAGACTTCTAGCAGAGGGCAAATTTACATGTATAATAACTGCTGTGCATCTTTCTATTAGTATCTCACCATCATTAGTTTCATTTGCAGTGGTGTCATGAGAGAGAAGCATGGACTGCTAAGAACTGGCAGCATATTGTATTTAGTGAGAATTTCAGAGGTTAGAACTCTGAAATTCTCACTCTGTTTGGGAATGGATGACTACTGAGGTGTCTGGAGAATAACTGGTGAGCATTTCAGTCCAGCCTTTACTGTTGAATGACACAGTCCCTATTGTTGACATGTCATCTAGGGAACTATCTCATATAACAGTAAGTCATCTCTGATAGTGATGTGAGACATTAACAGTGCAATAGTATGTTCAAGAAATCTTGTACTCTGATATGTTGCCTCTCATGGCAGGATTGCAAACAGTTATTTTTCAGCAAGATGATGCTCAGTCCACACATGATTAGAATTTGTTGGAAATGTATGTGTCACATTGTTGCATTTCTTTGATTTACCCAGTCTTCATATTTGTCATCCTTGAGCATTTTTGAACAACAGATTTGGATAATGGGGATTCTGCTGTAAATACAGAAATTAAAAACATCAGATTTATTAAGCTCATCATTGTGTCTTGTGTAATATAAAGACACTAATTTTTCCAATAAAACTTATATATCTAGTGCTCTTCAACATCATCATTGATTGTATAATGGAAATGTTTGATTTTTGAACAAGCAATATACATAGTAATAAATAAATTATATCTTAAAATTCCAAAGAAAATGCGTGCTGTAAATATTGATTTGTGTAAATAGAACGTGATTTAATATCCGGATCCCAATCATTACGGACAGGAAAATGATAATTTTGGTAATTATTCAAACAGAAAATGAAAAACAACCCACAAATATTTCAATAGGTGAATAAAATTAGGTTAAAAAGAAAATTACTACTACTTTCCGAAAATAGCATAAAATTCTCATCTGTAACTGAATTATTCTGGAGAATGATTTATTATATTACGTAATATAGTACCTCTCAGATTATACGAATTTTTGAGTTAGAACTTCTAGTGAACAACACGCAACTTTATCAGAATTGTTAAACGAGGTGTGTAAATGTGTAAATACAATGAGCGCTGAAAACATTTAATTTATCTCGGGTTATACAGTAAATTAAAATAATTATTGGCAATAAAATCGAATGTTTTGCAGTTGACATAAAAATACTAATTTACAAAATATCCAATTTTGTAATTCGTGAAAAGTTTTCGTTTCTCAACTGCCAGAGAGTTCATCATAGATAAAATATAGGAAAATCGTGGGGAAAAATCTTTGCAATTTTTCAAATTAGTAATGAGGGATTTTACCCTCATGTGTAATTTAATGACTAATGTTTCCAATGACAATACCTATTCTTATAACAACATTCATTAGTAACAGTGTTCTGATACTTGTGACCAAAATTGCTGTAATGTTCACTTCTACACTAACTAACAAATAAATGTTTAAAAAACTCAGAGAAAACAAAGAATAAAAGTTTGCTTTAAGCCTATTATAGAAAATTCATTTGAAGTTCTAATTTAAACATTAATGTACTGTACTTATGTTAAATCTAGTGAATTTCCTAAACTAAATTCATTATTATTATTGTATACCCTTAAACATTTATTATTTTATATATTTCCTGTATATTCCTTTACACACTTACTTCATTTAAACTTACTCCTATACTTTAAAAAGCACAAAAAAGTAATAAATTTTTATATATCACTAATTTTAAATTCTAAACATTAAAGTTGAATTAACAGCTGTCTTAATTGATGATCCTATATTCTAATGATCAAAATAACAAACATTCCTGTTAAAAACTTCTAGTTTTAAAACTTTAAATATTACATTAAAATATATAATTTTATGTAATGTGTGCTTCTTAAATTTTTATTTTAATAATTAAAACTTTAACANACTATGGAATTTACCTTTCATTTGAGGCTACTCGTCTGCCTCAGTATATAATACATTAAAACATTACATATTGAGGCAGATGAGTAGCCTCAAATGAAAGGTTGACTCTGCTGTAGAACTTGTCCTTTCACACGCAGGAGTACCTCCTGCGTGTGAAAGGACAAGTAAGAAGACACATTTTTTGTATTGTCTTTTTTAAGAATTTTCATAAATTTTGTAAATTTAAAAATAGATTCATTTGTTAAGTACTGAAAACTTTTTAATGATATTTTTTTCTTATAATTATTATTGTTATTTTGTAATAAATTTAAGATTATAGAATGTGCATATATAAAATTGATTTCTCTTTTATATTTTGAATGACATCAAAATAGATATTTTTTGTTAGGTTGTAGTCATAAAGCCATTGTTGCAATGGTTTTGAAAATATTTCCTTGTTTATTCAAACTGTTAGATTTATTGTCATACATGACAATAAATTTTAAAAAAATAAATAATGGGTAAATTTTGGCACAAGTGTATCAATAAATAATTTTTTTTGTGTGTATACAAAATGAAATTGACAAAATCTTCTTACAATCTGAATCTTCTTACACTTTTAAAAAGGGTTCATTGAGTTTATAAAAAACTTTTAATGTTTTTCAAAGTAAAATAGACTCTTGAATTTTGAAACAGTCTGTTTTATTTACCATTGTCAGTCTTATATTTTTTCAATAATTTTCAATTTCAATAATAAAAACAAATTTGTTACAAATTGGAATTGGCCTGAACCGCTCTTAATATATTGTGAAATAATATCTAATAAATGAACAGTTCAGAACTCTAATAATATAATTATTCAAAATCAACTTAACTCGCATTATCATAGTAAAAAGAAGTTGGCTACAACATTAATTCTCTACAACACTCCTTCTTAAGCTCTATTCTCTATAATTTACATTTTTAATAAAATTTTTTGCATTTTATTACATTGCCAAATTATACAATAACAACATCCCACCTAATTTGGAGATAACATACAATATGACTTACAATGCTTTAGTTTTTATCACTTAACAAATTTTCAATAAACAAATCAAACT